ATTTGTTCACCATGTAAGAACTTGTTCATTATGCTTCAGAAGATTGGAGACTATTGAGGATTAGGCTTGGGGTTGATTAATGATTGTGCATTGAGTCCCCTATACAGAATTTTATTGTTGTTAACCATTTGATCAATAAATATGAGAGATGCCCTCAAAAAAAAAAGAAAGGGGGCCTTACGATTAGCATGTATAATGTGGGGTGGGGGGCATAGGGAGGGATGTGCAACACAGAGAAGACAAGTAGTGATTTTATAGCATCTTACTACACTGATGGACAGTGACTGTAATGGAGTTTGTGGGGAGGACTTGGTGAAGGGGGGAGTCTAGTAAACATAATGTTCTTCATGTAATTGTAGATTAATGATAACAAAATGAATTTTTTTAAAATCCTACCATTTGGAACAACATGGATGGAGCTAGAGGGTATTTTGCTTAGTGAAATAAGCCATGCCAAGAAAGACAACTACTAAATGATTTCACTTATCTGTGCAGTATAAAAAAAAAAAAACTGAAGGAACAAAACAGCAGCAGACTCACAGACTCCCAAGAATGGACTACAAAGGGGAGGGGTGGGGGAGAGCAGGTTGGGAGGGAGGGAGAAGCAGATTGAGGGACATGATTGGCACACGTGTGTGGGGAGGTCACAGGGAAGACAAGTAGTGACTACAGCATCTTACTACACTGATGGACAGTAACTGCACTGGGGGTGGGGACTTGATAATAAACCTTCAATGATAGCTTCATAAAAAAATATTTAGTACATATTAAACTTCAGTCGTATTGGTTATTCTAAGCAGCATATAATATGTGAGTTGTGAAACATGTCTGTTCCTTTTATGACAATGTTTTTTACTACAGTAAAGAGAGAGTAATAAAAGTTTCCCATTTACCTATCACGTAGAACTAATGAATTCTAGCTCTCTGTCCTATTTGCTTCCAAGATTTGTTCCCTCTTAAAGTAATTAAATATTTCCAACAAATGTGAAGCTTTCTTTATACTGTTATCCAGTCCCTTTCCTCTTCCTTCCTCCTCAGGCAACAGCTGTAATGAATTAGGTGTGTATCAAATTTTGTGTTTACACTGCTGCATGCCCACACTCCATCCTTGAGTGTATGCCTTGCTTTATTAAACTACTCTTTGTCCCTGCTCAAACTGCTTGTGAATTTAAAAAATGAGAGAAGCATATTCTTTCTGTTTACAGTTTCAAATTACATAGTTATATTTTTAGTGTTTTGCAGCTTGCTTTTTAAACATTTTAAGTGTATATTTTTATTGAAGTATAGTTGATGTACAATATTATATTGGTTTCAAATAAACAACACAGTGGTTCAACAGTTACACATATTATTAAATCCTCACCCCAACTAGTGCAATTACTATCTGTCAACATAAGATGTTACAGAATCATTGGCTATATTCTCTATGCTGTACCGCCATTCCTGTGACCAACTTATACTATGATTGCAATTTTTGTGCCCCTTTATCTCCCTCACATGCTCCACCTACACACCCGAGTCACCTCTCAGTGTCTGTGAATCTACTGCTATTTTGTTCATTCTATTTGGCTTTGTTTTTATATTCTGAAAATCAGTGAAATCATATGGTATCTGTCATTCTCTGCATGAGTTGTTTCACTGAGCATAATATCCTCCAAGGTCCATCTGTGTTTTCACAAATGGCAGGATTTCTTTCTTTTTATGGCTGAATAATATTCTGTTGTGTATATGTACATCTTTATCCATTCGTCTGTTGACACTTTGGTTACTTCCATATCTTGGCTATTGTATATAATGTGGCAATAAACATAGGGTGCATATTATCGTTTTTTAATTGAAGTATCATTGATATACAGTCTTATGTTGGTTTCAAATACACAGCACATACAACTGTGGTTCAACAGTTACCCATGTTATTAAATCCTCACCCCCTCTAGTGCATTACTATCTATCAATGGAGTAAGATGATACAGAATCATGATCTGTATTCTCTGTGCTATAGTACCATCCCTATGACCAACTTATATTGTAATTGTGAATTATTGTACCCCTACCCCTTCCCTTCTAACCACTGATCCCTTCCTAGTGTCTTATGAGTCTAATGCTATTTTGTTCCTTCTCTTTTGCTTTGTTTTTATACTCCACAAATTAGTGAAATCATACAGTACTTGTCTTTTTCCGCCTGGTTTATTTCACTCTGCCTAATACCCTCTAGTTCCATCGATGTTGTTGCAAATGGTAGGATTTGTTTTCTTCTTATGGCTGAATAACATTCCATTGTATATATGTACCACATCTTTTTTATCCATTCATCTACTGATGGACACTTAGGTTGCTTCCATATCTTTGCTATTGCAAATAGTGCAGCATAAACATAGGGGTGCATATGTCTTTTTGAATCAGGGGCCTTGTTTTCTTCAGGTAAATTCCTAGGAGTGGAATTACTGGGTCAAGTAGTATTTCTATTTTTACTTTTTTAAGGAATCTCCATATTGCATTCCACAATGGTTGCACCAATTTACATTCCCACCAAAAGTGTAGGAGGGTCCCCATTTCTCCGCATCCTCACTGGCATTTGTTATTTCTTGTCTTTTGGATAGTGGCCATCCTAATTGGTGTGAGGTGATATCTCATTTTGGTTTTTATTTGCATTTCCCTGATAATTAGTGATGTGGAGCATCTTTTCATGTGCCTGTTGGCCATTTGTATTTCTTCTTTGGAGAAGTGTCTGTTCAGGTCCTCCAACCATTCTTTGATTGGGTTATTTGTGTTTTGGGTGTTGAGGCATATGAGTTCTTTATATATTTTGGATGTTAACCCCTTATCAATAAGTCATTTATGAATATATTCTCCCATACTGTAGGTTGCCTTTTTGTTCTGCTGATGGTGTTCTTTGCTTTTCAGTTTGATATAGTCCACTTGTTTACTTTTATTTTTGTTTCTCTTACCTGGGGAGACATATCCAGAAAAAAGTTGCTCTTGCTTAAGTTCAAAAGATTTTTTGCCTGTGTTTTCATCTAAGAGTTTCATGATTTCATCTTTTATATTTAGGTCTTTAATCCATTTCAAGTTTACTTTTATGTATAGAGTTAATAATCCAGTTTCATTCTATTGTGTGTGGCTTCTTTAACATAGTTTTGAGACTTAAACTTCATGAATATTTATAATGCCATTCTCCATTTCTCAATTCATCAACCCTTTCTCATCCATGGATTCAGACACTTATTCAAAGAGCATAATAGCTCACACCATAAAAGGGGTAGAAACTACTGACCTTAACCTCTCCAGTAGGTACTACACAGATTTGCACACTATTCAACTGTGTTTCTTTGCTTAACAACTCAAATTCTAGCCAGCACTTGTTTTGAAAAAAAAAAGTAACGTACCACAGTTCTGATTATCATATACAGGTTGATCTGCCTACAACCAAAATTTCCCATTAATCTACAGCCATGCCCCATAATCCAAAATTGTTCAAAAAAACTTGTATTACAGAAATTGTTTCCAGGAAGAATATAGAGTAAATCTTATTGTAGATTTTATATAAAATAATTTAAAATTTCTCTGGTAACAAACACTTTCGTTTTTGTTTTGTTGGGGTTTTTTTTTACAGTTTCGTCACTGGTCCTGCTGTAGTCCCAGGGTACTTCTCTCCGTTGATGTGAACAATGTGGTACTTGTTTTAAATGGAAGAAAAAAAACTAAGATCTTGTATGCCACCCAGTGGTTACTTTATGCACAAAATTTAGTGCAAACAAAAACTTCAGCATCTTGCTGTTGTTTTGCTTGGAAATGAACATTGTAATAATGAATGGATAAACTGATTCCTCAAAAGAAATGGAGGCTTGGTGGAGCTGCTCTTCATAATGTATGACAGCCCTTGGATTAATGATGTGGATGTTTTTCAGTGGCCTTTAGGACTAGCAACGTAAGTGCAAAATATTATTACACATTACCTAAATGTCTAAATCAGGAAGGTTGTGTTTTTAATGTGTAATAAATGTAATTCTTCTGGGATCATCTGGGAGGCTAGGTACAATCTTTTCTGAGGGCAAAAATATGGTTTAGTCTCATGCTTCAGTAACAATAATAAGGTTTTTAGTGTTTTTTAGCCTTTTATGACAAGAGCAGATGAGTTATGTTTTTGTGTTTTAGAACTCCAAGGCATAGGATGAATTTTCAAGTTTATCAGGAGTACCCCGAAACGATGTGTAACAGTGTGTGCCAGGCAGATAGACCTTCTTTAAATTTAATCTCTGTAATTTATAGTAAAAACAGAAGAACCATACTTTAAAGGCATATTAAATCAGGAGCACACAGTACCCTTGGATTTGATAGGATTATAATACGCTCACATCTGCCACTAAGACTGGTTGAATTTGCACAAATCTCTTCTATAATAAGAGGTTAATTAAATAATGGCAAAGGCTTCTCAATATGTCTATAAAGTCTACAAAGTGGAATGCTTATTTTTTATCTTCCTATTAATAGAGGGTTTTTTAATGAGTTGCCAGAGGACAGGGATTTGTGTTTCTTTTGTTCACAGCTTTATCTGCAAAGCCTAAAACAGTGTCTGCACTGAGTACGTACTCAATAAATAGGTGTTAAATGGATGAATTGTGAGAAACCTCACTAAATGCTTTTTGAATGCAGAATTTATTATTCATTATTCTATCATTGGTTACCAGATATGATCTTAGACTGCTGCTAAGTTGGCTACACAAATACTTCCACAGGAGCACTTTAATAAGACATATTCCCTGGCCTGCCACTATAATATTCAAGTAGGTTGAGGATAGGGCCAAACAAAAGGTTTTATATTGAGTATAGCCAGACTTAAGACACTCTGAGGAATCTCTTCCTTGAGTAGAGCTGATACTGTAAAATGTTTTGAAACAAAATAAATTCTTTTTCCAGTAGCAGTATATAACCTGTTCAGACTGATTGAATGGAAACTGCTTGTAATTCTGGTACTGTTCGACTAAGCCAGTATCTTTCTTGTAGATCATTGGTTCTCAACCAGAGGCAATACTGAGCCCCTGGGAGACATTTGGCAATGTCTAGGGGTATTTTTGGTTGTTAAAGATGGGAGGAGGACATAATACTGGCATCTGGTAGGTAAGGGCCAGGGCTGTTGCTGAATACCCTCCAGTGTAGAGGACAGCCTCCGCAACAAGAAATGTCTGGCCCAAAATGGCAATAACGCCAAGACTGAGAGAGACTGTTATATAAAGCTTTCCTCCCATGTGAAGTTTGTATCTCAGGCACACAGTGTGATCTCCGTTATTTCCAAATGCCCATTAGAATGGGCCAATTGCAGCCAGCCTCTCCTGTGTGGCATACAGGCTCTATTTAAAAATCTGCTTGAAAAGCCTTTGGAATTAGAGCTCTTTTTCATTGCAATATGTATTCTGTAATCTTTGCATCACCTAACTAAAACATTCATTAAATTATGAACATTATGAAAAGAGAAGGCTATTTATACTTTGAAGGTTGAATTCAGTGTGCCTTATACCTACCAGCATGTAATAGAAGTTGAAGAATGTAAGAAACAAAGCACTTTGGGTGCATAATCTCTGTAGCAATTTTGTAAAGATATCAATCTGAGATTCTTTTTTAAGTCTGTAGAGTCAGGGACTTTTCCAAATTAAACATGGAAAATTACAATTTGGGGTTTAGAAATCATATTTTAAATCTCTCCATATGGTCATGCTCCTCAGATGTTGGGTTATGGGAATTTGCCAATCCTATTGTGTATATTGTTAACTCATATGTACCTATTTTTATAGATACAGGAATTTTCCCGTGGTGGAAGCAAGTTGGTCAATGTTGCATAATGAAAGGCCTTACTTATGCAATTTCTTAGGAACCGTTTATGAAAATTCCTCCAGACAAGCACTAATGAACATTTTGAAACAAGATGGGAATGATAAGCTTTGTTGGGTTTCAGCAAGAGAACAGTAAGTTCTGTGTTTACTTGATCCATCCATTTTGTTCTGCAGTCTGAGAGTCACTTGTGAGGCAGTACAGGTTTCCAAAGAGACATTGTTAACACCATTACTACCTGTCTTTCCTCCGAAGATATACTGGTAATTAAAGAAACTGGATTGTATAAACTTTAAATAGGAAGAATCTCCTATAGCTGTAGTCCATCTTGAAGAGAAACAATAGCAACTATCAAATGCAAATATCAGGTGCTCAGTCTTCCTCAGTAATGTTCGTTATTCAGACTTGATAAACAGGATGTTTTGAATGCCAGTAGGGTCTTAGGTTCCTCCCTGAGATGGTCAGCAGACCAGTTGAGTATTCCAAGACTGGCACAAAGTATTCCTCACACCTTCAGGAACCTGATGCCCCAGAGGACAGGGGCCACTAATTATATTCTTTGCCCAGATCTAGCATAAGACCTTGCACAAGTAGGCCTTGGAAAAATGGGGAGTAGATGGTTGGATGGGTGGGGGGAGGGATGGACTTAATAGGGTTAAGTTTATTCCATCTTTAACAAAATAATCGTGAAGCAAGTGCTCACGAATGAAAGAAGAAAGTTTGGAATCATTTATTTTGTTCTTAAATAAACAGAGTTTCATGTATATAAAGCAATCATCAGAGAAGTAATGCCTAAAAAATGTCCTTCTAGATCTAAAACTATATTAATTGTAGCAGAAACTCTTTTGGAAAGCACAACTCACAACTCTATTGTTAGTGTAATCTTATAGTATCTATTCAATTGACAAATACTTACCAAACAACTGCTATATGCCAGAAATTATTTTAGCCATGAGGGATACAGCAGTGAACAAAACAGTCAGAAGTCCATGCCCTCTTAAAACTTAAATGTTTGCTGGAGGGGACAAAGCAGTAACATATATTGTGTATCAGAAGATGGTTAATGCCATGTAAAACAGTATGGAGCAGAGGAGGGATATAGAGAGAGGAAGGTACTGGAAGTTGTGCATTTGCTGTGGTGGATTGGTGAAGGAAAGCTCTAGTATGAAGGTCATATTTGGGCACCAGCCTGAAATAAGTGCAGGGGTGAGCCTTGTGTGTGTTTGAATATAGAGTCATCCAGGCAGAGGGCAGAGCAAACGTAAAGGACCTAAAGCAGGAGTGTGCCCATCACGCTTGAGGAACCCTGCACAGTGTGCCTGGAACAGAGTGAGCGAGGCAGTGTAAATGGCAAAGTTCATGTAATGGGGATAGAATTATTCCTATAACTCTTTCATACCTTTGCACATGGAGGTGGGGTAGGTGTCCTTGCTTCTCAGTGCTGCTTCCAGACCTTTGCCTTTTTTCCTCCCTAAAACCTCCCATTTTGAATCTTACATGACCAGATAAAACCACCCATTACTCTTCCTCTTTCAAGTCTTTTACTGACCCTTGCGTTTATCCCCTTTGTCCTTGGAAGAGTTGAGTTCCTAATATACTTTCACTCTCTCCAACATCTCCAGCCTAATTCTTGGTGATTCCCAACTCTACATACATGGTCCTTCCGTGGCCCTGGTCTGGCAGTTCCCTTGCCTCTGGCTGTGATCTGGGTCTTCATGTGACCTCGGCCATTCACTATCCTGGTCATTGCCTAGACCTTATCATTACTCATACTGCATCTTCTCCATGACCTCAAGTTCCAGCATCGCTCTCTGTAACACCATTTCCTGACGTTCCAGCTCATTCCCTGTAATAATCTGACTCCTTAGTTGCCTAGTCTAGCAAACCCCAACTGGTTAAATCCAGCTCTTTTATACTTGCTCTTTTATACCTGCAGTCATGCAGCCACACAGCTTAGAGAAAGGTGCCCATCGATCTCACTGGGAAGCTGAATGTACTTGCAGTCATGATTGACTATGAAATTTAAGTGGAGTAAAGAAGAAAGTAAAGGTGAGGAGAGTGAAGGACCGTGAAAGGGCAGTGACAACAATGGATCATAAATCCCAGCTAAATGCTGGTGTCAGATTATTACAGCAGGTGCCCAGCAGTCACACCTCCCTGGTCACTGTACTCTCCCCTCTCCTGGAAGACTGTTTTCTGCTTTCTTCTCTCTTTCCAACCACTCTTACCTTGTGACCTTACTGCTTACTTCACTGAGAAAATAGGAGTGGTCAGGAGAGAGTGTCTTGCTACTGTTCCCTCAGCTCCTAGTCTTGCCCCTGTACAGTCTATTCTCAACACAGCAGCCAGATTAATTCTGATAAAGCAGATCAGGTCCATCACCTGATCGAAATCCTGCATGATGGGATGCTATGACTTCACTGTCTGCATCTCTCCCTCACAGTTACTCTGCTTCAACTACCCTAGCTTCCTTGCTGTTCCATGAACATGCCAGGCACACGCTGTCCCCTGGCCTCTGTGCATGTTGTACACTCTGTTCTCCCCCCAGATATGTGCATGGTTTTCTCCCTCCCTCCCTCCATCTCCTTGCTCAGAAGTCCCTGCATGAGACATTCCCTGATTACCCATTTACAGTTACAACACTGTCCACTCAGAAACTCCTTCCTACTTCTCTGCCTTATTTTTACTCACAGCACTTAACTCCTAAATAGTTTACCGACTGGAATTGCTTATTGTCCATCTCCTACCACTAGAACTAGAATATGAGCTCCATAAGGGCAGGAATTTGGGGGCTGAGGTAGAGAAAGAAGACCTGGCACTTAGAGAATTAACAGTCATGGAGAAATTTTATGGTGGTCTCTAGATGTAAAAAATGTGTAGCTGTAAACTTTTCAAATTCTTAAATATTTTCAAGAAATGTATTTACAAGATGTTACACCTCTTCTACCTGTTGTTTCTATAACGTATTGGCCATTTCCTATAACTAACTTAGAAGATAAAATCTTTTCTTACATAAAAGATATGCTTAGTAAAGAGAAAACTACAGTTTTTTTTTTATTTTCTAGGTGGCAGCCTCAGGAAACAAATGAAAGCCTTAAGAATGATCAAGATGCTTTGCTACAGAGTGATCCCACATTGTGCCCAGTGGGAGTAAACACGGGATGTTATAGGATATACGAGGCCTGCTCCCACGGCTCAGTTCCTGTGGTAGAAGGTGTAATGCCAGCTGGCAGCTGTGGAAATGCATCTGCTTACCATAATGCTCCTCTGCAGTTACTCAAGTCCATGGACGCGCCCTTTGTCTTTATTAAGAACTGGAAGGAACTTCCTGCTGTTCTAGAAAAAGAGAAAACTATAATTTTACAAGAAAAGATTCAAAGAAGAAAAATGTTACTTCACTGGTACCAACAATTCAAAATAGAGCTAAAAATGAGATTTACTAATACTTTAGAAAGTTCATTTTTAATCAACGATAAAGGTTAAATATTAATCATCTTTTCAAGCTGAGCTTTCATTTTTTAAATCATTTCAAATACTGGGTGTGTATATGTGTTGTTGGGTAATTATTAAACTTAAATTCTTTAAGTTACCCTTGGGGGCCCTGTTATGTCTGTAGCATTAATAACCAAGTGCTTTCCTTATTGGGCCACTCCTGAAAATGAAGTTAAAATGTTACTCAAATTCACTTTTACAAAGTTGAAGGATTCAACATTTATCAACTCTTCTCGCCTATTTAAACCCACTCTAGGGAAGCAACATTATGTAGTAGAAAACACTGGGATTTGGAGTCAGACAAAACCGGGTTAAAGCCGCGCCTCTGCACCTACTATCTGAGGACCTTGAGAAGCCACCTAATTGTGTTGAGTCTTGATTTCTTTCCATGTAAAATGGAGATAATGATACCTCATATGGCAGGTAAGTTGTAAATACAAAATGAAAGAATATATAAAGCAGCTAATATGCATAGTAAACTCCTAAGTGAATTCCTATTTATTTAGAAATGTATAAAGTATATATAAATTTCTAATTTGTTTTTCATTCCTTACTACTTAATAGTAGGGCTAAGTTTAAATATTTTAACCCATGTCATTTACATAATTTGGGGAGATCATGTGCCATGTTGGGAATGTATGTGAACAAATCCTACAGAATCAGACTTTCAGGTTACTCAAGTTTTGTTGGATGACGTTGAGCTAGATGCCAGGATTCAGAATTTGGTCACAATCCATACAAAAACATGGATTGGGGTAGTCCAAGCCAGAAAATTAGTGCCTGAACTCGACATAAGTTGTCATGGAAGTACCAAGTAAAACTAGAGGAGAGAGCCTCAGGCAAAGACTGGCTGATACCCTTGGAGGGCAGTGGCTTTAAGGCCTGAGAAGAGGCCTCGTACCTGCAGAGCCTTGGGCTCCCGAAAGGATGTAGGGAACCTTGCACTCAGTTGTTGCTTTGGCTGGCTCTTCATCATCTCAGGAATCCTCTGGCTTAACTCCTGTGAAACCAGGGGGTTAACATCAGTCATCATTCCCTTCCAGGAGCTGTTGTCTCCTCATTATGTGAATGGCTGTAGATGCTCAGTAAGGGTAAATTCCACCCTGCTTTCTGAGACCTGGAGCTCCCACACAGGTGTCCACTTCATCAGAAGCTACCAAAAATAATGGTAAGTGAGGTGAACAGCTAGTTGAAGGCCATTTGGAACTAGAAAGTACTGAGAACCTGGGAGTCAACTGCAGGAGCAGAAACTGGAAGGATGCAGTGAAATAGGAGCTGTAAGTTAGTGCTGGGGTCACAGGAGAAGCAAAGAACAAGCTCAAAGTGAGAAATCCAACCCGAGATTTTGCAATGGTTCCTGGTGGGTTTCCAGCTCCAGCTCCCATGGATTTTGAGGTTACATTTTTATTTCCTATTGGGTATCCTCAACATTAACCTCCTTTCTTCACCCTTCATCCCACCCTGCCTGTCTGTCCAGGGGTAAATCTTCCAGACTTGTCCTGAGTGGACTTTAGAGGATAAATAGATTTGGTGGCATCTTTCTGGACCAGCAAATGGACACTGGGGGGCAGCATTTTTTTTTTCTCCTCTAAAATCAGCTGGGACTGAGACTTTCCAGGTGCACTGTTGAGGAGGGCACTGCAGATCCTGGGGTGGTTGTAGGCTACTCAAGTTAACTGCCCCTAGGTCTACAGAAGCACTGATCTGTGCAAGCAAAAGATTTCAATCATCTCCATCCATCAGACTGAATTCATCGCAAAGGAGATCACTGAAAACTGGGCCACTAGAATAGTAGTTCTTAAGTATTCTCGGAAGGAAGTAGAGTCCCCTTGCCACTAGTTGTCTGCCATGTGCTATAGTGTCTTCTGTAAGTCACTGATACTAAAGTGACTTAGCTCTGTGTAGATGTCTTCCATGCATCTTAAACTCTATAACTAAAACTGTTTATTATCTTCCTCTTCCAAAACATGCACACACACACCTGTTTCCTCTCCTGCCTTAACCTCGGTAAAGGGTGTCACCAGCTATGCTGCTTCTCCAGCTAGAGTCTGTACATTCCTGTTTATTCCTCCCTAACCTCCAATTAATTAGCAAGTTCTGCACTTTCACTGCTCTTAGAACTTATATTTGGGTTAGGCAAAATCTTTAAATAAAATAATCTTTTTTCAGATAGCAAATTTCTACTGCAGAAATAATACAATGTTACAGAGATTAATTCCAAATTTAGGAAACTATATGCAGAAACCTTGCCTCTGTTATTTGTTCTATATTATTTGATCTGTAAACTAATCTGAGAGTGAAAGCTGTATCTGGCAAGTAGAACTTCTGAAATTAAAGATTAATATGGTATGAATAATTTCTAATATAGTCCTTATCACAAGAAAAGAAATTTGTGACTCTGAGGACCAAGAGCAGGCCACCCAAAGATGTGCTGTTGTGACATGCAAATTACTGTGAGCTGAAAACCATCAAGGCCTAAAAAACTCAGAAAGAAACTGACCTCCTGCCCCCCAACAGCAAATAAAAAATTTAGCTGGAAGGAGAGCCATCACCATAGATGGCTGTATTATAATGTGAGCTAGGGGTGCTACACAGGAATGAATGTGACAAAGCCTATTAAAGATTTCCCTCTGTGCCCTATTGCTTCTGTGTGGCCCATCAAGTGTTTTGTTTACCCTCTCCATATTCCTGTGAATTTCTTCCCTTTTCCTTTGAAATCTCAGACCCCTAACTGCTACTTGGTTCAGGATGACAAATATACCTCATTCTCCCTGACTGTCTTTGGAAACCACATCTGTGACTTCCCCATATGTACATAATTAAACTTTCATTTTTTTTCTCCTGTTAATCTTTATCATGTCAGTTTGATTCTTAGACCAGCTAGAAGAACCTCCAGGGGTAGAGGAAATTTCTCCCTCCCCAACACCCACAATGAACAAGGAGAACAAGATAGACAAACTTTTATTTTAGGCCATGGAAAGAAGTTCATTGTGGCATGATAACCAGGCCCATCCTGTCCGGGTTTCAGCGATGGATTGCCTAATAGGCTGGCAGATGCAGTTCTAGTAAACAGAAATAATCACTCTTCTCTGATAAGTTAGACCAGTGGTTCTAAAATTAGTGGGTAAAAGTCTGATTAAGAAATAGGAGATTGACATAGTCTCAAAGTATCTCCTCACAAAATATGAATTAATTATGGAGAAAAGAATGGATTTACAATGAGAAACCTGATAGATACCAACTGAACCAAGTGACCAAATACGTTATCAGTAATGGGATAAATACATCATTCTCCTGGAAGAATGCATTCTGAAGGACATGTCACTTCTGTGGCATTCCTGGTAAAATGTATACTCTGAATTTACTCCTGAAGAAACACCAGAAAGAACCATACTGAGAGATATTCTTCAGAATAGCAAAGGATCAAGAGTAGTCAAGACATGAATGAGTAAGAAGTAAAAGGTGTGGAAATTTATGTGTCATGGGCATTGCAGATTATTGGAAACAACATACTTTCTAATTTATGGTTCTGGGACAACTGTCTACATGGGAGAAAATGAAATTAAACAGTACCTCACAGCATGCACAAAATTCCAGGGAGGTGAAAGATAAGGATGAAAAGCAAAATCATAAACTCAAACACCTTAGAAAAAAAATAGAGGGAAAAAATAACTTGATTACTTTGGGATAGGGAAGGATTTCTTTTAAAAAATGCAATGAGCAGATGCCATAAGGAAAAGCTGATAAACTTAAAAATACCAAGAGGCACCATAAGGAAAGGGGAAAAGGTCACTTACAAATAGAAGATACATGTAGTAAATGGAACTGACAAAGGCTTAGAATTCAGAATATATGAGTAACTGATTCAACAAGAAAAAAAATAATAGGAAATAGGCAAAAGAAATCAATGGTGGTAGCCCAGAAGAAAAAGATAAATGGCTCATAAATCTCATTAGTAATCAGATCTTGCAATTCTTGACAGACTTACGTAATCCTTCCCAAGAGTCACCACCATCACCTAAAAGAGCCTGGATTCAAACCTAAAAGTTAGCCTCCAGAGATTGCTCTCAACCATAATATCCTGCTGTTGTCCCACAAATCAACAATCTTGAAATCTAATTATTTTTTACTTAAGTGAAATAAGGGATGTAGATTCCAAAAAAAATTTTGGACTAGACTAGAAAGAAAACTCTAAGTTAAATGTCTGCCGTCCTTATGGAGTAAAAGTGTAATTTTTATAATCGTACACTTGCTTTGTGGTAAGGACAACTTCCTGAGAGTTGCATCGCCTTTTCTGCTGATGTATTGGAATGCTCATTCAGAGTAGTTTTCATTCACAAATCCGTGTCTTTGAGGCAGATGGAAACAGGACTGGTTGTTCTCTTTCATAGATATAAACCAGAAGCAATTGGCAGTAAGACCTAGTGCGGGCACAATTAAAATTGACACCTATAGTTAACTAAGAATCTTTTAGAATCACCATAGTGTTAAAGAGATTAAAGTCCATTCATAAAGTGCTCGAAGCTGGATACTTAGATCTTAAGACCGTTAACACTCTTTTCTGGATTCTTGGTAGCCTTGGTTTTCCATTTAGCTGCTTAGCAATTGCCATACAGTGTGATCAGCATTTCACTGTTATTACAGCTTCTCCATTTGTGACAAAATGGTTGAACTCTTACCCAGCTGAGGCACCAGAGCGCCTATATTCATTCACACTACACTGAGACTTCATCTACTAACTGACATTTATAAATCACTTAAATGCTTAGAGCCTCTTAGAAAACATGTACACAAATAACTTGGGATGGCAACTTTACAAAACAGGAAATGCACCAACAAGGGATTCCAAGGACAGTTTGGAAACCTCTATCTGCCGCTATCCCATTACTTTTCTGGAACCAGTAACTAAATCTCTTTGAATCTCAGCTTTCTTCTCTGTAAAATGGGAGTGGAGGTTGGGCACCCAAGGCAGATTAAACAGTATGAAAAGGAAGAGAATCAGAAAAGCATGGGTGGTCGTGGGGGTGGGGGTAAAATTGGGCTTGTATTTCAGTTAGGCCAGCCCAGGTTCTTAATGCTAGCTGCCCATTAGGATTGCCTAGGAAAATTTTTAACTACTCCACCTTTGAGATTCTTCTGTTTATTAGTTTGGAGTGGAGTTCAGGCATTGACTGGTATTAAACTGCCATGGTCCTCAAACTTTAGCAAACATCAGAATCACCT